TAATAAGAATAAGGGGTTGTATATTGCTGTCTGGCCAAGTCCCCACTTCCATGTTATCTCCTGAAAATATAGACATTCTATATTCAAGTTCACTTATTCGCTACAAAAATATCTTCCGATAAGCTACTACATCTTCTCTCTTATGTCCATCTATATAAACACCTTTTTTTACTCTTTCATAGATGTACTCAAGCTCCTTTAAATAATTTTTAGCAGTATTGAGAGAAATTGTTGGAGGTGGTGCAAATCCGAGAGAACCTCATTCATTTGCGACATGATCATATATGGTGTAATATTCCACTTATTTTCTTGAACATATGATTTTATTTGAAGAAGAATATCTTTATCTCAAAGAAAGCTCCATGTTTTAGCATGATGCCCATGGCGAGAATAAGGAATCTGACGTGCTATAACGTATTTATGCGCCCAAGAACGAATGCACTTAGCATGATACACCCCTTTTCCTGCTGCATCTGCAATGATTTTACTTGCTTTTATTTTTTGATGATTATTTTTAACAAGCTGAAGATAAAAACGAATGCTATTAAGACAAACCCAAACCTCACTATTTACGTTTTCTTTTTTGATATCTAATGCTAGATTTTCAAGAGTAGCTGAAATTTTTTTAAGTAAATTACAAGCTTCAATCTTATTCTCTGACAATTCTCCAAAATCTTCCTCATCCTCATTGACTTCCTCCAACTGATCTTTATTCTCCGATTGTTTCTCATTAACTTTCTTCAATTGATTTTCATTCTCTGACTATTTATCATACAATTCTTCTCCACTAGCCTGTAATTTTTCTTGATTCCAAAAGATATGTAGTAGAGGGGTTCCTTTTGCTACCTCACGTTGTTGCTGTCTTTTTTTTCTTTTAGTACAGACCAAGTTTCCTAGATAACGTAGTCTACGAGTTTGATTATAATTATATTCCTGGTAATATTTATTTACTGCATTTTGAAGTTTTTTTATAATGTTTTCAGCATTATCATTTTCAATTGGCTCATTATAAGCAGAAAAATTATCATTATGATCATCAGTGTTATCACTGTTATGATCATATTGTTGAGCCGCTGCTTGAAATCTTTTCATAATGCTTGTAGCATTATTATTTTCAATCGCCTCGTCACAAACAGAAAGATTGCTAATATCATCAGAGTTTTCTGCTTCTGAATTATCGGCACTATGCTTATAGACTTTTGCTTCATAAGCCTTTATGGCTTTTTTTTGGCAGCTTGTTGGACGTGGCATATTTCACGCTTTATAATTACTTTGTCTTAGAGGAATGCGTAAAGTTATTTTTAAGCAGATTGTCAGTTATTATTTATTTTCCTTTTT